TTCGCCAAATTAATATGGGAGAATATTTATAAACAGTACGATCAACAAACCGCCGAACAGATGATTTGTTTCACTGGAGAATATGATACCGAAGAATCAATCAAGGATCCCGACGAACTTGAAAAATCGTCTGCTACCAAAGAAATCGAGTCGAATAGTCGCAAAAGAAATCGATACACCACAGTCGCCTGAAATATCGAATTTTAACAACGACCACGAACTTCAATGGAAACTCATTCCAATTCACATCCCCGAACGATCCATACCAGTCGAATTAATAAACAAACGAGTCGAGCTCATCAAGAAGAAACGTGAGCAACCGAAGATAATTCCACTTGAGGAATATCAACTGGAACAACGTCCGCCAAAGTGACAGCTGTTAAATCAAATGAACGCATCTTTCGACACAACACAGTCAAGAAATCCAAATCGATTCAAACTACCTAAACGCAAGAAATATCTTGAGACGATCAATGGACAATTGTTTAGTGTAACAATGAATGTGTACGGAAAATAAACTATGAAGTTAGTGAATAAGAATAGAAAACAGTGAGATTTATTTTATTATTTTTTGGAAGAATGTTTTATTTCGTGCTACGTATTTACTTCGTTTATATTTTATGTTTTATATTTTATATTTATGTTTATTTCTTTTATCGTTACAACGAAAGTTTGTACTTGTATTCGTATTACGAAGTTAATTTTTTTTATCGTAGATAATTCCTTACCATTTTCCTCTCTTACGAAGAGGGGTGTAACGTAGGTAAAAATTAAAATGAAATTTGTGTGATTTTCCTGGTCTCTCGCGAAAGGCGATGGGAGCGCTCGAGTATTTCGGTTGTGTTTCATTCTTCACGTGTACCGGGAATTTCGTCATGTTTCGTCGCCATAATTATATTTATGACAATAATTTTTGTCGTCTCCCGTAATAATAATTAACGCATTTCAAATATATTTTTTTGATTAAATTGAATGTTAAAAATTTATTTTCCGAACCCTACCCGGCGAGCTAATCCTCGTAACATTCATCACAAAGAATATTATTTTTCAAAATTTTTTACGGCAAAATAATAAAAAGAATTTGATTTTTCTTTTAATATGATTTTGACAAAAGCACATTATTTCACATTATTATTTATGATTTAACTGAATTAAATAAATAAAGATAATATTTATAAAAATTATAATTTTAAACAATTTATCAATAATATTTTTAAATTCCAGCGGTTATTAAATGGTTGTTTCATTTTAAATTAATTATTATAAATTAATAATTATAAATAAACTAATTATTATAAGATTTATCAAAAAGAATTTTGTATTTATTCAACAACATATTTCTCGAGAGAACATTTAGAATTCTAAATTTAATAAAAATTTAAAATTAAATTTAAATAATAAATTTAAATTTTTAATTTAACCTTAAAAATATTGGCGGTAAGTGAATTGTTTCAAAAACCGGCACATATGCAGATTTTAATAGAAAAGCCCGATTTGCATTACGTGCTTAATCTCAATTCCTCTCTGATTTTAGTTTAAAAAATAAGGTCAAAAATAAGTCCGCTATTTAGTTTTTTTTCATCGAAAACAGTTGATTGTAGTTCCGATGATAGCGACAAGCTTACTTTTCAAGAAAATATCAAAAATTTTATTTTTCGATGACCTGAATTGGAAATATAGTGTCCGACAATCACAAGTAGGGGTATTTTCAGACTGCCATGACAGGAAGATAATTCATAATAAATAAAGAATAAATTTTTTTAAATAGTTTAAAACCCCTTTTTTTAGGTAAATAAAATAAATTTTGTAATAAAAAAAAATATTTCTGTGGGGTCATTATGCGATCACAAAACTCGACGATATGTAAATAATTCGAAAAAAATGTCAGGATTTCTAAAGATTGTAAAGAAAACAATAAATGATAGAATTTTACATTAATTTTATGTGTTCTTTATTTAAAATATCCTTACATCTATACATAATACCTTAAGATTAAAACTTATACATATTTTGATTTAACATTGATTTGACATTGAGTAAGCATCACCTTTAGAACAATTATTACAAAGTGAATTTAATACTCTCTATAATGTAACTATTAAACGAAATATATTATCAAAATCATAATTAATGAATTTAATAATGAATCTTTCTAGATTTAACAATGAGCCAGTAATCTTCTATTAATTATGATTTTGATAATGTATTTCGTTCTATAGTTACATTATAGAGAGTAATCAATTCACTTTGTGATAATTGTTCTAAATTTGGTGATGCTTATTCTAATTCTGAAACTTATATTTAAATTTGACTTTAAATTATACATTTGCTTTGTCTTCCCAAGTGTTGTGAGAGTTATCAAAACCAAGCTACTTGACAAGAACTTTGTTTCCACGTGTCCTGAGAATTTTCTCTACAAGATAAATGTCTTAATATTTCACTTTTAGAACCTCCTCTTAATAGAATCCTTCACTGATGGGTTGTTCTTGGTAATCCTTGAATTTGTAAGTTACAGGTTGAGTTGATTCCACTTTATCAATTGTAAATATTTCAGTAGTTCAATTAGGAGTGTAACCCTTTTCAAAATTGGTTTTATATTTTCTGACTCGCACTTTGTCACCAAATTTAAATTTAGATTGTCTCAAAGGAATTTTTCTTAGCTTGGAGATTCGATGTTTTAAAATTTCAACATTTTGTGCAGTAACATCTTTAGGCTTCATTCCAATTGTTCTATGTTTTGTGTCATAATTAGAAATGAGATTAGGTAATATATCATACCACTTGTATTTTCCTCGTAAACTGAATTGCAACCGTTTTCAAATATGAATTACATTGCGTTAGTTACATCTTCTCCATTTTTACTTTTTACAGGAACAGCCCAAGCATACTTCGATAAAATATCTATGACTGTTAGTAAATAATTGTAATTTTTGTTTATTTTGGAATAAGGTAGCATTTCAACTAAATCTGCTTGCTAGGTTTCATCAATATCACGCATTTCTACGCGACGGCGATATTTTTTTCTAGCCTGTGTATGAAGTTCAGTCACTACTGTTAACTTTTTTTTTCATTTTGGAGAGCAGTTAAATGAGCATCCAATTGAACAATAAATTCTGCGTTGTCGAATAATAAATCCAGATTGTCTTTTAAGATTTTTTAATTTTTCATTAATAGAATCTTCAAGGATTTTTAACAACAAGTTGTTATTGTCCACTTTTGATCTTATTGATGATGTGACTTGATATAATAGTCGTACCTCGTTTTCTGTTATGAGTCGTACAAGCTTTAAATTAAAAACGTCGTATTCTTCTTTAACATCAGCAACGTTACAGATTCTTCTACCTTTAATGTCGCAGTTACCTTGTGAATTGACTTTAAAACCAACTTCTGTAGGTCCACGTCTTGCTATTACTGTTCCTCCTTGACTAATAGGATGTCCGAACACATCAATGCTCATTATTGAAATGAATGACATTTACTAAAGCACACCTAAACCTGCTCCTAGAGATGCCATAAGTAGTCGAAGACGATCAACGAATTCATTTGTATCATCCCAATAAATATAGTCGGGTTTAAAACTTTTATTCGCAATTATAAATTTAGGTAGTGTACTACCAGTTATAGATGATTCTTTTGTAGAAGAAAATTATTTCGATATATTATTTATGTATTTAAAACTTCTATCTCTATGAATAGGGTTAGAGGAACAGTAGTTTTTCTATGTGCATTGAAGGTGGTAAGAATTTGTTTATAACACAGGCACACAAAAAATAAAAAGCTTTTTGGCCGAGACACTACACTAGTCTATTTCAATGTATTTTTTCACGCTGAATCCGAATCCGAAGTCAGAATTATCAGATTGGCTTTTATTTTTGAGATAAACTCAAAAAACTGCTCAGAATGGAAAATAAAATCAAAAAGTTAAAAAAATTTTGAATGTCACGGCGATAGTGTAATTCCATGTATTTCTTGTCGCTGAATCCGAATCCAAAGTCAGAATTGTTAGATTCGCTCAAATTTTTGAGATAATTGCAAAAAAACGCAAGTAACAAAAAACTCAAAATCAATTCTTTGAAATTATCTTCAAAATTTGAGCCAATATGTCAATTCTGACTTCGAATTAGGATTCAGCGTGAAAAAATACATGAAAATGCACTATCGTAGTGTTTCGGAAAAAAATATTATCTGTGCCCCTAATTCAGAATTTTTATCAGTTTTTGGCGATTTTAGCACAAAGAAATTTTTTTTTGCCGAAACACTACGATAGTGCATTTTCATGTATTTTTTCACGCTGAATCCGAATTCGAAGTCAGAATTGACAGATTGGCTCAAATTTTGAAGATATTTCCAGAAAACTGATTTTGAGTATTTTGAGTTTTTTGGTACTTGCGTTTTTTTGCAATTATCTCATAAATTTGAGCGAATCTAAAAATTCTGACTTTGGATTCGGATTCAGCGACAAAAAATACATGGAATTACACTATCGTTGTGACATTCAAAAATTTTTTAACTTTTTGATTTTATTTTCCTTTATGAGCAGTTTTTTTAGTTTATCTCAAAAATAAAAGCCAATCTGATAATTCTGACTTCGGATTCGCATTCAGCGTGAAAAAATACATTGAAATAGACTAGTGTAGTGTCTCGGCCAAACAGCTTTTTATTTTTTGTGTGCCTGTGTAATTATTCATATCATGTTCACTAATTATGATTTTTGAGGTTTGTTTTTGAATCAAATTTATAATAACCCAGAGGTAATCATCATCATTCATTTCTTGAATATTCGTTTCTTAAAAACGTCGTGCACTTAACCATAATTATTTTCTATATTTTTTTCTCAGTTTCATGTTTCTATATAAGGGATTGTATTTGAAAACGACCCTCCTTATAAAAAATTGCAATTCATTCGTTTAACATACATTTTTAATTAATTGTAGGTCATATAGTCGATCATTAAATACATTTATTGTTTAAACAAAGGTTTATGAAACGCTTCGCTTTATTCATAAGCGTACAGCAATATAATCTCTCTTTGCCATTCCTTCTGCTTCTGCTTTATTATTCACTTTCATAGGTTCCCCTGGTTCATTGTCTTCAATTTCGGCACCAGCCCTAATGTAATCTTCAATGTCCTCATCAATAATGCTTAAGCAAATATTGTGAAACACCCAACATGCTGTATTTCAGTGTCATTTTTAACTTACTGGTGTAAAATTTCGACGATTTAAATACGGAGGTATACACCATGGCAAAACTGGATATGCTTTATCCCCAGTTACATACTCCTCGTTTGGAAATAAAGCTTCCCTGTTGACATCAACTTATTTGTATAAATCAAAATTTCTGAAAACTCTCAAGTCTCCAACTGAACCAGAGTATCCAGCAAAACAATCATTTAACGCAAGATTTCTGTCACACCCAGTTTGTAAAATAAGTACATGAAATCTCTTTCGACAGACATAATACTGAGCATCAATCTCAAAATATGATAATTGTAAAATAAAGGTCAAATTAATTGTTATAAATAACATATGTACAACAAAAAATATACGTATGAGTGTCAGGTATTCACTTTTGTCCCCATATTATACGCGTATATTATTACTGCTACTTACTTCTAGTGCGTTTATTGGAATGAATGATGCATCAATTACTCCAATAACATCGCTCAATCCTGACATACGTCTAAATTTTTTTTTACATTTATTAGGTTTTGTCTTGTAGGCCAACTTACAACATTTAGAGCTATTTCATTTAAAACATTTACAACTCTAATAAAACATGCATGAAACGATGATTTTGCTAAATCAAATCTTTGGGCCACTGATCTTAAATAATATGGAATTAGAATACACAATTTATAATAGTTAAATGTAATTTATTCCAAAATCAAAAAGTAAAATAGCATTTTAATCTGTAGGGCTGTAGCAATTAACGGAACAAGAATTATTTGAAAATATTAAAAATTGAATTATTTATGCAGTTTTGAAATATTTTTTTTAAATTACGATTTTTTATGTCTATTTTGTCGTATACAAAGAAAACTAATTGACCTTTTTCAATTATCTTAGTTCAAGTGATAGTCACACATGTACTGAACAGGACCTGTAAATTTGATCAAAATCGGTCAAGTGGTTTCTGAGATATCATGGAAGCCAGTTCGAAAAAGGAATTTCGAGAAAAACGCGTTTAAAAGTTTAAGTACACCTAACCGCGCGATTGAACACACTGGCTTATTAGTGCTTCTTAAGGACGTTGTATATCAAAAAATCGCCTTACCCACATATTTTACATATGTAGATCAAATTTATGAAAAAAAATCAATTTTTTAAACCCATCACACGGGGTGACTCCCTTAATTTGAAAAATCTAGAATTAAAAACAGAGCAGCAACAAAGTTTAGGTAGGTAGGTTTAGGTACTTTTAAGTTTTTGTGAAAGTATGCAGACAAATGCATTTTCCTTGAATTAATAAATCGAATTTCATGAGTGAAAATTAAAGAAGTGTAAAGAATGTAATGTTAATGGGAAATGATCGTTTCCCTCAAAAAACCCTTTTATTTAACGGACCAATTTATACTTTCTGGATTTTCTTGACCAGTGTTGAGATCAAAGAGGATCACCGTGGGTAAGTTAGGGCAGAATCTCCTCTTGAGAGTAAGAGTGTGTCATGGGAGTTATGTTTTGTCAATTTAATGTTTTTTTCTAATTTGTTGAGGCCAAGTTTTTGATGATGTTTTAGCAAATAATCTTCTATTATATTAAGTTAACAAATTTCCAAAAACGACACCGACCCCGTGACCTAGACACCGTCCTTGGAAAATCTATTTTCACTTATTTTCAAATAAATCAAAATACTTTGTCATATGCTTTTAGAAAATCTTACATACTTTTTTTTGTAACATGTTTTTTCAATTTTAACCCGAAAAAGGGTTATTTTGCATTTTCATCCCAAAAAAAGGATTATTTTGCAATTTTATGCAATTTTTTACGAATTTTTTGATATATACCTTTAAAATTACTCTATTTTTAAAAAGTTACATATAAACAATTTTTTATGGTTTTTTAAAATTATTTATTGTTGTTTTTTAAATTTTTAGTTAGGATAATATGAATTATAATATTTTTTTATGGCGCTGCCGTTACTGTTCAACGCAGCCATTTCCAATTCAATGATATAATTTATTTATAAAGTAGAGTTATTAGATTTCCTCGTAGTCGAATTTTTTTAAAACATGTGTTAAATATTATTGTAATACTTCTTGGTAAACAATGTTTCTTACATAAATGTCTTTTTCCTTGCCTTTTGTTTTTAATGGTTTTTCGCTATGTGTAATACTTGAATTTTTATTTAATAATACTTTAAGATTATATTTTGAAGTTACTCTATATAAAGCAACATATAATTGTCCGAGACTCAGTGTTGTCAGATGCCTATGGCGCTTTTCCCCTAGATGGCTAGATATTTTCCACTAAAAATAAATTTTTTCCACAAAAAATTTTTTTCCCTAATTTTCACTAGAAAAATAAAAATAAATAAATAGAAAACGTAAAAATTCTTAACTCAACGCAAATTTTAAAATTTTTGAGACTATTTATGCAAAGGTTATTTAATCTTAGAGAATAGTTTAATAAAATTTAATATAGTTCAAGGTAATAAATATATAACAATAATGATAGACATTTTTTTGGAATTTCATTTATTTAGGGCGTTGTCCGCAGTGGCGAGACATTAGGATATTTCAGACAGCTGAACTGACTGTACTGGCACTTCTGGTCAGAAAGTCATGTTTTATTGTGCTTTAACTTTTCAATATGATACATACGTTTTTGATGTACGAAATATCTCTATACTGTTAATAACAGTTTCAAGATATTTTAAAAGTTTTATTTCCCATCGGTTTAAGTGATAATATATAAAAATTTCCGGAATTTTCTGAAGGGTTAAATGTTTTGAGTCTTTAGTATTTAAGTTTCCTTCAAAATTTCCAGAGCACTATGAATTATTGTTCGATGCATAGGATTGTACATCGTCATTACCGAAAAATGCTGTTTCCGCATTGGCGAGACACTTGTTGTCGGCAGTGGCTTTTTTATATCTAATAATATTGTACATGTCCTAATGAATTTGATATAATTTTTGTACGTTTTGTCGACAATACTTTTCATAACTATAGTTTAAATTGAAAAAGATGAACAGGAAGAAAAGTTTATTTGTTTTTAATAACTGTGACATGGATTAGCGGCTCACAATCAGAAAAATATTTGCCTGTATTTTTATGATTGAATGAAACAATATTATGATTTAAAGGCATCAATTATTATACTCTTTCTCTTTGATTCCTTTGTTTTTGTTACGTTTTAACGATGAAGACTCTGATTTTAAGATAGTGTCTCGCCACTACGGACGATTTTTTATGCCGGTAGTCGCGAGACATTATCGTAAATCGGCAATAACTTTTTTTTCCAATATCTGTTCTGTAACTCTATAAGTTAAATTTGCAGAATAGAGTCACACCTGTCCATGGATATATATACAGACTTGATGTTCTTGAAAATATGAGTTCTATAACAAAAAAACAAAACGTGTCTCGCCACTACTGACTCTCCCTTAAATATTAATTCCAGTTACAATTTATTTATAAAATTTATGAACTTAAGAACATGGAATAGACATTGCATTAATAAAATAAACTTCACGAATAAACTGTACTAAACAACAGTGCATGGCTTGGCACGTAGAAGAGCATCCTTTCTTATAGAACTGTGTGACTAATTTTGAATCGCCATCAGTGTAACGAATCAAATTCACTTACATAGTTTAAACTCAGTGACCACACTTTTAATACTTCAGATACAATTTACGTAGAAAAAATTACATTTAAGTAAAAACACTATAAAAAACCAGTAAAGAAAAAAAAAGATACTAAATTTCCTACTAAAATATTTTTCCTACTAAAAATGTTACTGAAGGACCAAAATCTTACTAAATTTAGTGGGAAAACCACTAACTTGTCAACGCTGCCGTGACGAAAAACATGTGATGGAAGGTATATGCCTACTTTTTGGAAAGATTGGCCTTGAGATTTGTTTATTGTTAAAGCAAATCCAAGCCTTATTGGAAATTGCTTTCTTGACATTTGAAATGGTATTTCTTCGTTAGACGGTGACAATGTAATTCGTGGCAAAATTACAATCTCATTTTAATAATTTCCCTTTAGTACTTGTGCATGAATAGAAAAACTACCCATTTTAATAACTTTTAGTCTTGTTCCATTACAAAGACCTCTTTCTAAATTAATATTCCTTAAAAGTATCACAATTGCACCAATCTTTAATATTAATTTGTGAGGAGGAAGTCCATTTGGAGTTAAAGTATTTAATACTTCAATTGGTATTAAGTTAGTTATTGTGTCACACTTTTCATCTTCTTCAGATGTATCTATACTTAAATATTCTCTAGGTTCACCTGTCATTCGTTTAACAACATTTAATTCAAATACATCATTATTTCTTGGTGCTAATATTACTTTTTCTTGAATATCACATTCATTTGAATCTATGGATTTTCCATAAATTTCAGTAATTAGATCATCATTACATATTATTTCATTAGGTAATTTTACTACTTCATTATTTTCTTCAAATGTATTGTTAAATTTTAAATTTCCTACTTGTAGAAGCCAAGTTTTGAATTCTTTTTCATTATTAGATACCCTTTTGTTTTCAGTTAATGTGAAACATTTAAAATTTGACCATAATTCACTTTTTTTAACACAATTATTTACTGTCAATGTTCTATTTCCATGTCTAACAATTGGTAAAGTTTGTCTAAAATCGCCAGATGCAATAATAATTTTATTACCAAAACTTTCTGTACTTATACATAAATCTCTTAACAATCTATGTACTGCTTCAAAAGCATGCTTTGAAGTCATGATTATTTTATCCCAAATTATTACTTGACATTCTTTAATTTTTTTGCCATCAATTGTATTAGGATTTATATTGCATATTGTTTGTTCATTTATCGTCAATGGTAATTTAAACGTTGTGTGTACAGTTTTGCCATTTATCAATAAAGTTGCTGCCATCCCTGTCCATGCCACTGACATTATGGAAATTTCATTTTCATTGAAGAATTCAATAAGTGCATTCAGTAAATAACTTTTACCACTGCCTCCAGGACCATCATCAATGAGGACCCATTTTCTCTAGGTTTAATTTCACTATCAATGGATGGTTCTACGTAACAAATGGGGAAATGTAATTCAATATTTGTTGGTAAATTAAAATCTTTTAACGATAAACTATTCATTATTAGAATATTCCTTATTATTCTTAAAGCCCAAATTTCTCCTTGCTCAGGATTTATTTTTGGATAATAGAAGTGCATTTTATATTTTTCAAATAATTCACAAGCATTAATTGGATTATGATATATTTATATGTAGGCGAATAATTCACATATTGCTCTTAGAAATTGCGTTTCACAAGCTTCATTAGGACATGTGTCCCATTCGTCATTTGATGAAATTAGTTGTCTTTCTTTCGCGGCATCAAAAAATGTTGGCAATATAATATTATTAAATATTTTTAAATCATTGAATGACGTAGCACCTTTTACATGTAAGAGCAATAATCTAAGATGAAATTTTTCACGATAACGTGAACTTACTATGTACATTCTACTTATAATAGGTTTCTTTATTTTAATTCTTTTATTCCAAACTTTTTTTAATTTACAAAAAACATAATGTTGCGGAATATTAACATATAGTAAATTTCGTGCTCCTGAATCTACCTTATTTAATTCAAACCATGCAGTAAGTGTAGTGTTATTATTTCTCTTTGAGAACTAGGTGTAGTCTTCCAAAACGAACCTTTTTTGGTGCACTTAATTCCGGGCAAGTAATATATGTAAAATCAAACAAAAATCTCATTATAAAGGTTTACTCTGGATAATAAAAATAAAAACCGAAATTTTTTAAAGGGTTTTCGATTTATTACGAACATTTTTCTCAAAAATTTGCAAAATCTCCATGTGTTTGTGGGGCAATTTACAGCAATATAATATAATATAATAAAATTTAAGATAAAAAAAATATATTATTATATAATATAATATATTATAATATAATATAATTAATATTGTTGTCATAATTATAATAAAAAAACATCTAATATTTAACAATTGTCATTTCATCCTTCAATGATACTGATTACAATTAAGATAAATTTTATACAATATTGTGACGTTGTAAAATTTACAATTTTACAAATCACAAAAGTTTATTTATTTTTCAAAATATTTAATAACTTTATTTATCATTCCCGAAAGAGATATTTCAATATCACAAATTTACTAGACGAAATCACATTATGGATTCGAGAAATGGAAAAATTTTATTTAATAATAATTTAATATTAAGAATTAATGTCTGTAATCCCTTTTTATTTATGTATTTTCGAGACAATATTCACTTCCGATGTACCCATTAATTGGATAATTGAGAGATGCCAAGTATTTTCACGTTTTATGCAAATATCACCCTGAGAATATCATTGACTTCGTTTCCTGGCGAAACACTCAAAAATTATTATGATTATTGGAAGGCTTCCTTATATTTTTAAATTACTATTTAAAACTTCTATTGCTGCGGTTAGCCAAAGCCCATATAAAATGTTTGATGTTTTGGATTTATGTCAATTCGAAGTTTGAAGATTTTTACTTGAGTGTGGCATTATCTTTGTAAATTTCAATATTAATTCCGAATTAATTAATATTTATATTGGAGAAGAATGAAGGATTTACCATCTTGCGTCGGATTAACGTATTAAAATCGTTAATCAAGAAGAAGTATTATTATTATTCAAGAAAACAATTTTTGTCAACAACATTTATTATTGAATTTGAATTTCGCACTTAATCAGTTTGGACCAATCAGCGTCAAGATATAGATGAAAATCTTTTTATCGACCGTCAAACTTTCTTTTTTGTCCCGATCTTTTTATTTTTTTTTAGATATTCATTTTTTTTTCGTTGGTAACGAAAATCTCCTAGGAGAAAACAAACAACGTCTTTTTTATTCATTCATTAATGTGATTTCGTGTAAGCTAGACGCTTTTTTTATCATTTAATTTAATTTGATTTTTGGGATCTCAATTGAAAAATATATATATATATATATATATATATATATATATAAATCATTTAAATATAAAAAGGAAAAATAAAAAGGATAAAGGAAATATATAAAGATTCAAAAATAATAAAAAGGAATTGTTTGAGAATCATTGGAGATATTCGTTGCCGTCAGCCATTTTGATAAAATATTGATTCTGGAATTCTCTGGTAAAATTTTATTTTCCCATTTATGAATGATATCTCAAAATTATTTATTTGTTTGAATTTTTCAATAATGAATTTAATTTTCTTTAGATCTAAATTTAGTTTTCTTTAAATATGAATTTAATTTAATTTAGAATTTCAATTTAATTTAAAATGATTTCTTTTCAATTTAATTGATTATTTTATTGATTTTGGAATTATTTAAGAATGAATTTAATTCTCTAAATTTAATTTATGATTTTTATTTAAAAATTGATTGAAATGTCATTCATTTAATAATTATTTTATCCATTTCAATTTTCCATTTTTCCATTCCTCGAATTAATGAATCCTTATTTAAAAAAAAAAAAAAAAGAAAGAATAAGTAATTATTTTTTTTTGCATTATATCGAGTCTTGACTCAATTTTCTTTAACATGTTCAAAAATTTTAAATAAAGAAATTTATTAATCTTTTGTTTAGAAAATCTCATGTTTTATTTAATTTGAATAATAAAATCTTTTCGAATATGGCTTTTCCGAACCGCCCTCTCTACTGTTAACCAAGAATTGGGACTGCAGCAGGCCGAGTAAAAGGAAGACTATTTTAATTTAATTTGAATTTTGAATCATTTCTTTGCTTTGAGTTTCCCTTGATTATTGAATTTGACAGTCTTTGAGTAAAAGCCTGGTGGCCGTGTGTACTCTTCAGACTAATTTGACAATCAAGGATAATTTTGATTTAATTGCCGAATTTGACAGTCTCAAAAATAATTTGCCTGGTGGACTTGTGTATTTTTCCAGACTAATTCAACGATTAAAGAAAAATTTATTTAATCTATTTAATCAATTTAATTCTTTTGTCCCTTAATTATTTATTTATTTTTATTTTTGTCCCAAGAAAGGACTGGCGCCCAACAAACAATTTATTCGAGTCTTCCCTTTTGTAACTTTGATTTAATTAATTGATATTTTTAATATTCAGCATCATTAATAAAATCATTTGGTTACAATATTAATAAGATATTAATTTAAAACATAAATTATTATTATAGAATAATAATCTTTGTATTCATTCCTTCATTCATTCACATTTTCTTAGTACTTGAATTTTCTCATTATTATTAGATTATCTTTACTTTGATAATTAGGGTTCTCGAAGGTTTCTACCTGAAATTTGTTTTGTCAAAACAGCTTTCAGTTGAGGGTTCATAAGATGGTCGATGACCTTTTAAATACTGTCCTGTAAGGCGAAGTTGTGTCCCCCACTTTACTAGCCCGGCTCGAACAATCACCATGTGGTTATATGAGCCCGGGTCTGAGCCCGGGATAGGCCGATAGAGTGAGGATATACCACTTCCCTTTTCAGGACCCAATCCGTGATCGCTCGATTCATCCTAACAGCCTTGGGTTGAGGGAAATTTTTTTTATTATTGTATATGCGATATAGATGATAACCGTTTAATCCCCGTGAGTGGAAGTGGTGTATCCATACTTAACTTACCAACATCTATCCCCGAGGACGCCACTCAGGCCTACCGTAATATCTGCCTTACGCGAGAACTTAACATAGGCCCGGATTGGTAGAGTGGGGGTATAACACTTCTCCTCAATGGAGTGAAACGGCTACTGCTGATTTAAGATGCTGATGTAAGTCTACCGTTGCAACAACATTGTAGTAGTGTCGCTAAAAAAGCTTCTAATAGTCTCAGGTAACTTAACTTGATTATTATATAGTTTATAATATTTTTCTGCAATTTGTCGATAAATAACTTACTGCATGTGTTGAATCTTCTTATATTATATTTGTCTTTTTCATTTTTGTATTGGGCCCAAAAAATATATTCCTATTTTTGTATAGTATTAATAATTATATATGTATTTTGAAGATAAAACATTGATCATTGAATAATTTTTTTATGCATAAAATATGGATATTGCATAATATTGGTATAGAAGATATTTGTTTCTTTTGGTTGTCTTAAATGTTTCATATAAAAAATACTTCAATCCATTTAGTCTTTTTGGTATTTGATAACATTGGCATTAAAGATATTACGATTTTGAGGATAAAGAAAGATATAGGATAACATTAGTATCGAATATATTTTGATAATGCAACAAAAATATTGATTGTTTGATAATAGTGGAAACAGGCTTTTGGAAAAATTTTTTGGTATTGGATAATTTTGGCATTAAAGATATTTTGATTTTAAGGATAAAAAATGATATTGCAGAACATTAGTATTGAATATATTTTGATATTGGAAAAAAATATTGATTATTTGACCACAGTGAAAGTTGGTTTTTGGAAAAACTTTTAGGTATTGGATAAGATTGGCGTTAAAGATATTTAGATTTGAAGGATAATAAAATATGATATTGGATAACATTGGTATTCAATATATTTTGATATTGAAAAAAAATTTTTAACTGTTTGATAATAGAAGATGCTGGCTTTTGGAAAAGTATTTAAATAGATAGAAAGAGGTTTGAATATTGTTTTAAGGGTTGAAGTTGTTTTATCGGTTAAATAATAGTTTGTGAGTTGAATATTGATTTGAATATTAATAAAAAGTGCAGAGGAAAATAAGTTAAATAATAATCATTATCGAAAATAATATAATATGGAAAAAAATTAAACAATGCTAATTCACGTTCATGTAAGACTATCATTGTTGCATTAGTTAGCTGAATTATAGTTAATGAAATTTTTTATAGGTGAAACACATGTAAGTAAATTTTTTAAAGCAATAAACTAAAATAAACGATATGTTTTGAAAATT